AATACTGCAGGGAACATCTGGGCATGCCATCGTCGGAGTTGTTCCGCTACTATCAGATTACTCATTTTTTGCGTGATATACTGGCGCGGAGTGACTCAGGCGGGAACCTTAGCCCGTATGAACATTGGGGTCTTCACTCTATCAGAGAGGGGCCATTTCCCTGCTGTACTCTATAATGTTGGACTCCCCCCCTAGGCAGCCATATATGCGGGCTTGGGAAAGGGATTTGAACGGGGAGGTGCCAGAGGAGATATGGAGGCGTCGCTCAAGAGTGACAACTCGGGGCCTGCTGAACGTTTCACTGCTAGAAGCCAATTTTAAAGTTTTCTCCAGGTGGTACCTGGTGCCTTCTAGACTTGCTCGTATGTACACAGGGGCATCCCCCCTGTGCTTTCGGGGATGCGAACTGGGGGCACCATATACCACGTATGGTGGTCGTGCCCTCGGATCCGTGCAAGGACCAAGCTGTCTTGGATCATGATCCACGAAAAATTGGCGAGTATCCTTTTGAATAAAGTTGGGCAATTTGAGTTAACATGGGGTCCTTGGATGGCCTATGTAGGCGGTATAACAACTTGAGAGTGATAGAAGGATGGCAGGCCCTAGCTCGTCCCGACCAAAACTAACTAATTACTTGGTAACGGGTCCCCCAGATTAGTCATATTCTATGGGTTTGTCCCTCCCTCTTCCCTTCCTGCTGGCTTTCACTTCCTTTTTGTTTTTTTCTCTTTTTTCTTCTTGTCACTGTCTGCGTTTTTTTTGTTTTTTTGTTTTTCTTGGTCATACGTCCTTTATTTATGTAAGTAGGTTATGTTAGTCATGGTACCAGTTTGTATGAAAGATTTTCATACCAATAGCAGTATAGCAGGGATCACTTACCGATTAAATCTGCATACTGGAAAGGGGGAAAGCATGGAGGACATGCCTCGGGGTAAGGCACTCTTGCTAAATAGCTACAACGGTAATGCTTTCTTCTCTCTTGTATAGGTTAGAGGTATATATTTAGGCAATAATTAGGGATAGAACAAAAACCCAGCAAAATGGAATGAGCAATGTCATGTTTTATATGATTGGTACTGTATTGTCTGGTTTTATGGTGTATCTGTCTTATAATGTCTTGATAAAAATAATAAAATATTTGAAATATAAAGATCCCTGATCATGTGATCACGGTGATAGCCAAGTGAATGGAAGCCTCCACTGTTCTGTTTCTTCTTTGTACATTTTATCTCCTCGCTAGAGAAGTCTGAAAAAAAAATAACATAAAGATAAAAGTCAGATCAGAGCTTGATGTAGGTTAGTGTTGTGGCTCAGTTATAGCAGGTGGGTAGTGTGGTGTGATAGGTCCAGCGGGGACAGTGTGATGCACTTTTTTAAAAACTTTATTTGGAGTGTACAAAATGTACAATCAATTCAGGTCCCCGCACAGCAGTGCTATGTACCGTGCTGCAGTGTGGTGACCTGGGGTGAGGCACGAGGAATTTTCTTCACAGCGAAGTACACTGCACATCACACCTGTGTTGTAGTGTGAATGGGGCACAGAGAAAACAATTGTTTTTAATCTGACCCAGCGGGGACTGGCATTGTGAAGTTGCTAAAACAGGCCACTTAGTGCTTCTGATGTGTACATGCTCTTACTTTCAGTGTCACTGTTAGCATTAGGGTCAGTGTTAATATTAGTGTTGATGTTAGCGATACTGTTAGCTTCAGGTCAGTGTTAGTGTCAGTGTAAGTTCAGGTCAGTGTTAGTGTTAGATCAAGTAAGTGTTAGAGTTGAGTCAGTGTTATCATTAGAGTCAGTTATAGCGTTAAGGTCATTGTTAGGTTCAGTGTTAGTGTCAATGTTAGTGTTAGGGTCAGTGTTACCATTGGGTCACTGTAACTATCGGTTCAGTGTAAGTGTTAATATTGGGTCAGAGTTAGCATTGGGTCAGTTTTAACATTAGTGTTATTGTTAGCAATACTGTTAGTGTCAGCGTCAGCATACGTGTCAGTGTTAGGCGTTAGGGTCGGTGTTAGCGTTAGGGTCAGTTTAGTGTCAATATTAGTGTTAAGGTCAGGGTTTGCATTGGGTTAGTGTTAGCGCTGGGTCAATGTTAGTGTTGGGTCAATGTTAGTGTTGGGCTAATGTTAGTGTCAGTGATAGCATTAGGGTCTGTGTTAGGCTCAGTGCTAGTGTTGGGCCAGTATTAGCATTTGGTCAGTGTTAGCGTATGGTAACTGTGAGTGTTAGCACTAGGTCAGTGTTAGGGTCAGTGTTAGCGTATGGTAACTGTCATTGTTAGCACTGAGTCAGTGTTAGCATTTGGTCAGTGTTAGGGTAAGTGTCAGCACTAGGTCAGTGTTAGGGTCAGTGATAGCACTAGGTCAGTGTTAGGGTCAGTGTCAACTCTAGGTCAGTGTTAGGGTCAGTGTCAACTCTAGGTCAGTGTTAGGGTCAGTGTCAACTCTAGGTCAGTGTTAGGGTCAGTGTCAACTCTAGGTCAGTGTTAGGGTCAGTGTCAACTCTAGGTCAGTGTTAGGGTCAGTGTCAACTCTAGGTCAGTGTTAGGGTCAGTGTCAACTCTAGGTCAGTGTTAGGGTCAGTGTCAACTCTAGGTCAGTGTTAGGGTCAGTGTCAACTCTAGGTCAGTGTTAGGGTCAGTGTCAACTCTAGGTCAGTGTTAGGGTCAGTGTCAACTCTAGGTCAGTGTTAGGGTCAGTGTCAACTCTAGGTCAGTGTTAGGGTCAGTGTCAACTCTAGGTCAGTGTTAGGGTCAGTGTCAACTCTAGGTCAGTGTTAGGGTCAGTGTCAACTCTAGGTCAGTGTTAGGGTCAGTGTCAACTCTAGGTCAGTGTTAGGGTCAGTGTCAACTCTAGGTCAGTGTTAGGGTCAGTGTCAACTCTAGGTCAGTGTTAGGGTCAGTGTCAACTCTAGGTCAGTGTTAGGGTCAGTGTCAACTCTAGGTCAGTGTTAGGGTCAGTGTCAACTCTAGGTCAGTGTTAGGGTCAGTGTCAACTCTAGGTCAGTGTTAGGGTCAGTGTCAACTCTAGGTCAGTGTTAGGGTCAGTGTCAACTCTAGGTCAGTGTTAGGGTCAGTGTCAACTCTAGGTCAGTGTTAGGGTCAGTGTCAACTCTAGGTCAGTGTTAGGGTCAGTGTCAACTCTAGGTCAGTGTTAGGGTCAGTGTCAACTCTAGGTCAGTGTTAGGGTCAGTGTCAACTCTAGGTCAGTGTTAGGGTCAGTGTCAACTCTAGGTCAGTGTTAGGGTCAGTGTCAACTCTAGGTCAGTGTTAGGGTCAGTGTCAACTCTAGGTCAGTGTTAGGGTCAGTGTCAACTCTAGGTCAGTGTTAGGGTCAGTGTCAACTCTAGGTCAGTGTTAGGGTCAGTGTCAACTCTAGGTCAGTGTTAGGGTCAGTGTCAACTCTAGGTCAGTGTTAGGGTCAGTGTCAACTCTAGGTCAGTGTTAGGGTCAGTGTCAACTCTAGGTCAGTGTTAGGGTCAGTGTCAACTCTAGGTCAGTGTTAGGGTCAGTGTCAACTCTAGGTCAGTGTTAGGGTCAGTGTCAACTCTAGGTCAGTGTTAGGGTCAGTGTCAACTCTAGGTCAGTGTTAGGGTCAGTGTCAACTCTAGGTCAGTGTTAGGGTCAGTGTCAACTCTAGGTCAGTGTTAGGGTCAGCGATAGCACTAGGTCAGTGTTAGGGTCAGTGATAGCACTGGGTCAATGTTAGGATCAGTGTCAGCTCTAGGTCAGTGTTAGGGTCAGTGTCAGCACTAGGTCAGTGTTAGGGTCAGTGTTAGGGTCAGTGATAGCACTAGGTCAGTGTTAGGGTCAGTGTTAGGGTCAGTGATAGCACTAGGTCAGTGTTAGGGTCAGTGTCAGCACTAGGTCAGTGTTAGGGTCAGTGTCAGCACTAGGTCAGTGTTAGGGTCAGTGTCAACACTAGGTCAGTGTTAGGGTCAGTGTTAGGGTCAGTGATAGCACTAGGTCAGTGTTAGGGTCAGTGTTAGGGTCAGTGATAGCACTAGGTCAGTGTTAGGGAGAGTGTCAGCACTAGGTCAGTGTTAGGGTCAGTGTCAGCACTAGGTCAGTGTTAGGGTCAGTGTCAACACTAGGTCAGTGTTAGGGTCAGTGCCAGCACTAGGTCAGTGTTAGGGTCAGTGATAGCACTAGGTCAGTGTTAGGGTCAGTGTCAGCTCTAGGTCAGTGTTAGGGTCAGTGTCAGCACTAGGTCAGTGTTAGGGTCAGTGTTAGGGTCAGTGATAGCACTAGGTCTGTGTTAGGGTCAGTGATAGCACTAGGTCAGTGTTAGGGTCAGTGATAGCACTAGGTCACTTAGTGTTAGGGTCAGTGATAGCACTAGGTCAGGTCACCCAGCCGTACTATGGCTACAGACAACCAATAACGCTCACATATGCACTATCGCTGTAAAAATCAAAAGTAGGAGTAGAAGTTGCAAAACTGGGTTCCAGTGTTAAGATGTGTTTTTCCCTTCAGTCATTTAGGGGTTAATACACTAGCTCTTACCTCACAGCTCAGCTCCAGCAGCTCCATTTGTCATGCACAAACAGACAGAGCTTCTCCAGAGCATTTCTTGTGCCGCCCGTACAGTATATTACCGGAGAAGTCAGCGAAGAACTACATTACCCGACAACCTTAGCGCCATCCTCTGTGTCTCCTGCTCTCCAGTAATATTCCCCAGGGGAACAGTGACGTCCCCTTAGGCGGCCAGCGATTGGCTAAAAGAAAGCCTAGTTTGCCATATATGGACAGAGACAGCCTGGACTGGTTGCGCTGGTGTTCATTGTAAATCGTATGACTGAGCGGAGAGGAGTACAGAAAAATAAAAAAAAGCGATCCGGAGCTGTGTGAGTTGAGCAGCATCCTCCGGGAATACAGACTTGGAGGCAGACAGATCCCCTTCCAGGAACTGACCAGGAGTCACTCCACGTCTGCCACTGAGAGCCATTCACACACCCAGCCTAGTGCTCCGTCCACCTGGATGGGGACAGTCCCTGCTCAGCTGCATCTTCTATACTAGGATCTCTTCATGCTCCCATCCACATTAGGAATCCAGCCTTGTAATCCACACTACTAGCTGCTGACTCTTCTACAATGGTAAGGCACGATCACTCTAATCAATACAGAATACTTCTATAGTGCTGCATTTTACTGATCTGTTCAGTCTCAGCCAGCTACAACTATTCTTCTGTCCTTTCCTTGCATGAGTGCTAAAACTACAAACAGCTTGAATATCAGCTTGGTGCAGTCCTAATATTAATGATGTGTAATTGTAGCCCCAGCCAGCCATTCCAGTAGCCTGCTCCTACTACCAGTGTAGACTCCTGGGTGCAGATGTTGCTGGATGATAGAAGGAAAAGAGAAAGCTTCGCTGTAAACATTGTATCCTGTTTGTTTTGTTTTCCTGTGAACTTGACATTGTTTGCATATGGCCAATCTAAGAAGTCTTTGTGACTAAACATTGGATAGTGAATGTCATGCTGGAGTAGCCTTTCTCCACTGTGTTACCCCTGAGGAGCCCTTGAAAAGGTTTTGGGGAGGTAAAAGTTATTACACCTACAGCTCCCTGGTGCATGAGCATGATGAGTAATTTGTACAGTTTTAAATAAAATAAAGTATGTGACTAGCAGATGCTATCTCAACCAGGGTTCCTTGTCAAGTTGCTACAGTATTTGACACCTAGACCAGATACCCAGACCTAGAGTATTTGACACCTAGACCAGATACCCGGACCTAGAGTATTTGACACCTAGACCAGATACCCGGACCTAGAGTATTTGACACCTAGACCAGATACCCGGACCTAGAGTATTTGACACCTAGACCAGATACCCGGACCTAGAGTATTTGACACCTAGACCAGATACTCTCAGATACTCGGACCCAGAGTATTTGACACCTAGAGCAGATACTCGGACCCAGAGTATTTGACACCTAGAGCAGATACTCGGACCCAGAGTATTTGACACCTAGAGCAGATACTCGGACCCAGAGTATTTGACACCTAGAGCAGATACTCGGACCCAGAGTATTTGACACCTAGACCAGATACTCGGACCCAGAGTATTTGACACCTAGACCAGATACTCGGACCCAGAGTATTTGACACCTAGACCAGATACTCGGACCCAGAGTATTTGACACCTAGACCAGATACCCGGACCCAGAGTATTTGGCAACTAGGCCAGATACCTAGAGTATTTGACACCAAGGCAAGATACCTAGAGTATATGACACATAGGCAAGTTACCTAGACCTAGAGTATTTGACACCTGGGCCTTTTTTTTGTATTAAATGAAATGACAAATAATAACAAAACATACAGATAGTGAAGACTGTGGTGTACTCTCAGCTTAATATAGATGTAAGCCCTCACATTGGTAGCCAGTGGAAAATGTACCTCTTGAACTGGTGATCATTTTAGATGGGAGAACCCCCAGCAACCTCAGCAGAAACCCTGGTTGAAAAGGGGCACTATGATTGAATGACCTGTATGTAGTTCTGGTCACCTGCCATCTGAATGAATTTATAGGTGTACAGGAGCAGAACCAGTATTTTTTTATTATTAATTAATAACCAAAAATGTTGATAGTAAAAATAGTGGTGTGTCCTAACATTGGTAGTGAATAAAGAAGTAACCCCTCACATTGGTGGCCAGTGGAAAATTTACCATTTGCATTGGTGGTCATTTTAGATGGGAGATCAGTTCTCTATTGCTCTCTGCTCAAGGAACCTCTAGCAACCTTAGGAGAAACCCTGGAAGAGGAATGCTGTGCCAGAGTATTGTGGTTGACTGATCTGTATGTAGGTCTGGTGACATGCCATGTAAATACATTTGCAGTTGTACAGGAGCCTAATGCAAAAACAACAAAAAAGGAAGTAAACCGAGTGAGGAAGATGTGTGACGGCAGACACCACCTGCAGGATCTACATATTGTGCCTGTGCTACTAGAGAGCAGAGCTGTGTGTTCAGTCACTAGAGTAACAGGCACCATAGGGACAGGCCGTGTCATGTGAGCTTGTAGGAGTGTGGCACGAAAGGAGGACAGCGGTATCCTCTCTACTAGAGTTCCTAGTTCTGCTCCCATCCATGGATTTCTGCTCTTCTTAAAGTGACCCTTTCAGTCATTTTTACATGTTGACATAAATACATTACTGACTCATCGCAATATAAAGCAACTGTATAATTAAAAGTTACTTCCCCAACGATCAGACTGCAACATTGGAACTTTATAGACAGTCAGAAGGTGAGAGGCTGCTGCAAGGGGGCTGATCTATGTCAGACATTTGTGAAATGGACTGCACAGAATGTTCATATGCCACCTCTGCACTAGCATATCAGTTTAGGAAGTATATTTTGACTCTGGATGAACAAATACTGTCCTGTCCATCTGTAGAGAAAAGCAGATGAAAGCTTTGTCAGGGGGAGTACTGTGTGATCTGTGAGTGGTATTAAATACATGTACATTTGGATTGGTATACATGCACGGATCATTAAAAAATATATCTGATGAAAGTTTGCTTTAAACAGGAAGCTCACCCCTGCTGCTGCAATTTCTGTATTGAAGCATTATTGAAAAATATGTTGGGGGGGCATGAGACGACACTGTAATGGCCAAAACAGGTGGGTGGCGCATCGCCACTCATTTGTGCAGAAATATTTTAGGCTGCTGGGGATTTACAACTGAACTCCAGGGATATTTCACTAAGGTCTCAGCCATTTCAGTAAGGTCTCACCCTGCCGTGCAAATGCTCATTTTGGTCCAGGGCAGGGGTAGGCACATTCCAGCTGTAATGAAAATACAAATCCCATCATGCATCTGCCTCTGGCAATCATGCCTTTTTAGTGGGGTAGGAGGGGGCGTGGCGGGCCATTTAAGTGAATGGCGCCGTAGCCACGCCTTCCGGCCGCAATGCGATCTGCCCCACGGGATCGCAAGGCACATTGTGCCTGCGGTCCGAACCTGTAGCAATCAAAATGCTACAAGCACTATTTTGATCGCACCGCACAGGGCCGGACCGCAGGCAAAATGTGCCTTGCGATCCCCTGTGGCGGGCCGGAACGCACTGCATCTAGTGTGACTGAGCCCTTAGAGTCTTGCAGTACATAATGGGATTTGTAGTGGCACCATTTTATTTATTTTACTTTTTTTAATTGATTTATTTACCTGATCCTTCACTGGCACAGCAGCCAGCACTTTCCTCTTCCATCGCTCTGGGTTGTGGGCAGGTCTTTGGCATCCTCACTTACAGGGCAGGAACTCTGGTGATATCCGATATGGATACTTCCATCGAGCCAAACTGGACCAATGTAAGTTTCCATGAAAGATCATCCCTGGAGTTCCGCTGTAACCTGTAAGCGGAGACAACTCAGGTCTTCTGCCTTGCCAGACAGGGCTGTGTTTTGTGGCAGAGCTCAGAACTGCAAATCCTTTGGCAAGTACAACAGCCCCACATATATATATGTATTATCTGTGTATTTACTAGGTTGCCTGGAGGTCAGCTTTAAACAGACAGGAATTGGGCCATTGGTGGTGCAAGTTGACATTTGCTAGGTTGTAAGACCAGTTCTGCAGGACTCTGGTCATATAGATATCAGTTTGCAAATAGCTTAGGAAGGCTGTTTTAGGACTTCTGGGAATGTAAACTGGCAGTGTTAAAGCTTTCCAGTAAAAATGGGGGAGCGACAAAGGGAAAAAAAACAGCCACATGGGAACCTTAATCTTTAATGTGGCGGATGCTATTTTTTTGCAGGCTGGTGCCACTTGGGAGTCATTTGTCTTTTAGTCTGTGCAGTAAATCATTCTTCCAGCCTGTGACCATTGCAGATAATTATATATTTTTTTTCTGTTCCTTCTGGCTTTCCTGTCTTTCTAGTGGTTTACATATTTGCATAATACATAACCTGGATCTGGTAGGGAAGATAGCTGCTGTTCATTATAAAGCAGGCTACACAATAAAAGCTACTCAGCAGATTTTGGTAAAAGGGTGACCATCTGCCTGTCCACATGAGGATTGCTAACTGCTTTGCCCCATTCATTCCTATTCTGCAAAGGGATGGACTTACCACTGAACAATAGATGCAAATTAAATCTTGTATGCCAAGCATTTAATGAGCGTCCATTTATTGCATTTGGGAATGTATCTTTTCATTAAGCACACAACAAAATGCATACGCTCTTCCCTATTTTTTTCTTCATACGTTTTGGCGGTAATGCCCTAAAACCTGACCTTTCTGGCAAGACATCAGTTCACAGACCAAATTCATTTTGGATGTAGATCTACTAGATGCTCCAACATGAATCCTATTTCATTCTCCTACAGTTCCCATCAAACACTACAGAAAAAGCACCTGGTCACA